AAAAAAACACACATCATGGTAAAATCAATACATTCATCGCTCCGCTCAGAATCTAAAAAATAAAAATATTTATATAATTTTATGAGACTTATCAAAAGTTAAATAATGACACTGAGTGTAGGAACCTCTTTATTTAATACTTTGTCCAGCAACAAATAGTTTTAAGTACTTATCAATAGGTGTTTATTTAGTATTAATTTTTTATTTTTTTTTGTTTGGTATATTCAATCTGTTCCTTTAGAAACAATAAAAATATTTGATAACAGAAAATAGATTATATGATGGGAGAAGCCACCCAGTGGTACACTACCCTTATTTGAGATTTCATTTTTTTTTTTGTATACCAATAATTTAGGTTAAACAGTGAGAATGACTTGATATCATTTTCTTTTGAGTTCCTGGTATGAGAAGGAAGTTTTGAATGGAATCGTTTGTTAAAATTTGATGCTTCTTCATGGACTGTTTTGATTTTTAGATCGTTATGTAAAGTAAGTTTTGAGATGTAGGGTGGAGAATTTGTGATTTTATGAAGGATATTTTTCTGGAAGGTTTGAATTTTATTAGTGCTGGAGTTTTTGTCATTGCCCCAAAGCTAAAGACTATAAGTCCACATCAGCTTGAATATGGATTTATAAATTAAAAGTTTCGTATTTAATGGATGTATTTGTTGTTAGAAGTTTTAAGAATGCGAAGTTGAGCATTTAAGGTGAGTCTTTTAATTTTAATGTGATGTGACCATGTGAGTCATCAGTCAATTGTTAGATCTATATATTTAGCTGTTTGAGAGGAGGGGATTTGATTATTGTCTAGCTACATCATAGCACAAGGAAGAAGGCGAAAAGTGAATGTTGTATGAAGTGATTTGGATTAGTTAACTTTGATATGCTATTTTTTATACCAAACAGCCATGAGGTGAAGATTGAAGGAAGCTATATGTATTCTGGAGATATAATATCATAGTCTTGTCATTGGTAAACTCAGCAACTATTGTTTTTGGAGAGATGCATGTATGTTGTATTATAATGGAGAAAGAATGCCCCCTGTGGAATGCCTGCACTAATTAATATTAAAATAATTATATTTTTGTCAATGTATACTAACAATTTTTTCAAACTTTATTTTTAGTATAATATTATTATGTTCAATGGGAATTTTTCAGTAGAGTYTTAAGATGAAATTATTCTTAAATTCATATTCATTTTAAGTATAGAAAATTAATTGTTACTTTAAGTTATTATAAATAGTCCTTTACTTTAATTTTTCAAAAAGTTTCAAAAATTATAATATGGTTTTATTATAATTGAATAATTGACAGTCCCTATAAAATACTTATTCTTAGTGTTAAAGATTATTTTATCCAAATCAAAAGCTCAAAGGCTGTTCACAATTGGTATATCTAACATATATTTTCATAATATTTCATTTTATTTATATTTATTTTTTCTTTCCTGGTTTTTTTTTTTTTATTTAGATGAAAAAAAAGAAATTTTTAGCACTAAGGCAAATCGTCATACCACCAGTAAATCAAATTTTTCGCTAGAAGAAGACTCGGCACAATTTTGTTCTACCAAGGTACTTGTTCTATTATATTTTAATTCCCTTTTATAAACATAAAAATATAATAATCTTTTTCAGTATCCACTAAACAGTTCTATTAGAGGTGTATTGGGAATCAATAGTAGTTCATTATTCCAGTCGACAAGTACTGMATCACCTCCGATTGATGAAAATGACGGTATATATATWATATATATTTATTTTACAAGTTGTAAAATGAGCTTGAATGAGATTTTTCAATGAAAATGCATACATTTTTTTATTTTGTAGTAATATTTTATGAGAGTTACATTGTTGAATATTCATTGGATTGGAGATTCTTGTTTATGTCGCCCAACACTAGAAATCAATTAGGCATTCCTGTTATGCTAGTAACCTTAGAGCCTACTCAGAACAAGTGTTTTGGCGATTCAATTAGTCAGTTTTTCTTGAAATTTTACTATGGCTACGATGGTTTACTGATGTCTTCCGTTAAATCACTAGTTGAAAAAAATGAACAAAACAAAGGATTTATAAGGTAAAAATTCTCTCTCGAAGACCTAATGTTTTGTTGTAAATAATTTTAATTTATTGCTATTATGTAATTAATAATAATTATTTATCATTTCAGATACGTCATTACTGAGAAATATTACAGATTTATGAACATTGAGATGTCTAGAACGTCATATATTGCATCATTCTTTGTAATGGTTATATTTGTGAGTATAAAATTATTGATTTTTATGTACAGTTAACCAAAAAGGGTATGATTTTCAACAACCCTATTATGAAGTGGGGAATATTATTGGTATCGCAACAAGGTAAGAGATTGTGGTAGCAAAAGTAATCTTCTTATTACTTAAGAGTAAAGGTTCGTAAGTAAGGGTTACTGTAATGAATGAAGTTAAATTTACATCCAATGATATTATATCTTTGTATACGAAAAACGATTCTGAGYGGAGACGGTTTATCTGTCTAGGATATAATATTATAGATTATTAAAAATTTTCAAATCTTAGATTTATTTTATTTTTCAACTGTTGTTGTAAAAATATGTTTAGGAGCCTTGTATTAAATTTTCAAATCTTAGATATAATAAAAGAGTAATTTTTTATAGTATTCAGCTTTTTTAAATCACCTCAAACTACTACTGACTGGCACGTCAATAAGTAATTTATTTCAATTGAAAATCAATTTGACTCGTTTAATTACTCGTGTAAAGTATATAGTCGGTAAAGTATATAGTCAATATATGTGATATACTATGATCCATTTGTAATGAACTAATGAAATAATCGCAATATCTATATTTTGTTTCATTTTGCACTATTGGCACTCGTATAGTTTATTGCATTATTTATTATATAAACTAATGCAATAAAGGTACCTAATTGTATGAAGGTTGAACTTCTAAGTGAGTAAAAATAGAATTTTATTACAAAATAAGATTATAATTAATCATTTGTTTTATTCTTTTGTTTCTTAGGTTTTATAAGGTATCAATTTCCATATAAATGATGTTATTGTTGTAATCTAGTTTATATCATAAAATCAATATGAAAATTCTAAACCCTAGATTTATAGCCCTATATTCTACTAATCATATTTTTGTGTGTAAATGCGTCTAATACTTCACGTATGTGTACCTATACATAAACAAGTAATACTTAATATAGATTAGGTATATAAATTTAAAAAAAAATAATTATTAAGTATAATAATGTAAATAAATTAATATGAAGGTAAAACACTGATTTGGAAAAGAATTTAAATTATACATGGTTGACGAATTTATAACGTTACCGTAGTATCCGATAATCTAACGCAAATTTTGAATAAGGTTGGCACTGCACATTGTACTATCAACTAAAATCTTCATGGTTTTAATTAACTCTATAATATAATAAACTATCTATTCAGGTATTTATTATTATTTTTAGTTACCTGATTCGTTTAAAAATCATTTTTCAACGTTTTAAATCTAAAATAATTGATTATTTTTTGTGTTGTAAAAAAATTTGTATTCACAATTTTCAGTTACAAAATTAATTTTATAATTGCGTCTTTATTCCATAGATATATTACAGAGTGTCAGAGTAAACAATGAACTGGTGTGTAGATTCTAAAATTGTCCTCAAATTCGACAGAATTAATATTGTGTGTTATACTTTATACTACTGGTAATAGAATTATAAAAATGCTTGGTAAATGCATATTATTATTGTGTTGAACATTGTATGGTAGTAAAGTTATTGTTTATAATCATAGGTACTAGCATAAACATATTTAATTATAGCCGAGGCTGTTTATTCCCATGTTTTTTTTGTTACTTTRGTTTTGTTATCTTTAATCAATATCTTTTTTTAGTTTCCCTCGGTATGGTCATTCGATTTTAAATCATTTAAATGARTATACATGTTTACAGAATTTTGGTTTTAAAGGATATTTGGAATATTATTACGTACTGAAATTAAATATTTCATAATTACTCGTACTTCGAGGACGTTAGATAATCTTTAAAATATTTTTGTAAATTTCTATAAGTATCATATTTTTTATTACTTATAGACTATATATATATATATATATTATATTATGTGATTTTATTCTTGAGTTAGATACCAAGGAAATGTGTGTACCAATATATGTATTATAATGTATTACTTATTTTTTATGATAAGTTATTTTTAGATTGATGTTCACTTTAATAGTGTAAAAATGTTTACCAATAAATGACAAAATATTAGGTATACTGCAGCTGGATGCTGGTATTGATATAGTTGTAACCTAATATACATACATATTACATACACATATATACACATACAATTATAGATTTATCATAATACGAATTACAACAAAGGTTAATTTGAAATTTTTTTATCACCTAATTCTAATAATTGCATTAATTAAAAAATAAGTAACTTTAAATTTAAAAACGTGTAGGTATAGTGTGATCTCATATTTTTACAATTTTAAACTGTTTTTTTGGCACATTTAATTTTTGATAACTTATTTGATACATTTATAATATAGTATAATAGTATATATAATATATATGTATGTATGTTTATTGAAATTAAACGGTTTGTATTTTTTTTTTCTTTCAGACTGCATTGATTTCAGTCCTCTCGAGATACACACACTATCATATATTTGCTTTACTAGGTAGGTAATTTATATTATTATTATGCCGTAAACAAATAAATATACAGTAACTATTATTACGTATAATTTTTTTACATTTTGTTTATTTATCGCTGCTTATTTTTTTCAGAGGATTTATGGCAGCTATTTATTTATCGCCGTTCGTTCACTTTCCAAACGGCGCCTTTTTTGGCCATTATGGCTCTGGTCGGTGAGTAAAATAAATAACGACAATAATGATAGTAATAATCCGTCCGTGTGATTTTTCGTCTCATCCGAATATTTTTAAAACATTTAAAACCCTGTCAGCTTATGCGTCATCGGAGTTAAGTGACGCTGCTGACGTTCGTTTCCCGAAAACATAATTTTATGCATTAACAATTAAGAACTTAGTCAACACGATAACACTGTGCCGTGTYCTGCACTCTTTCAGTGTGTATGCGGTAATAATAATAACGTGGATAGTTGGGACAATAACATGGGGGACCCCCACTGGGGGTTATCGTGCATAAAATAGCTTTAGATAATAGATGTCGGATGATAATATACGTTCAGTTCATTTATTTATTCAATTTATAATAAATAATATTATTTAAATTCACAACAGGCATAAGGTCCATGATGTTGACATTTTTCAACGACATCAACACGACATTGTTTGTCATATTGATCGTGTGGATAGCTGATCGATACATCTCCGTAGTATGCCATCCGATCACGAAAAGGCATTTGCGAAAGTGAGTACTTATATAATATAAAAGCTATTATTATTGTCGTCGTATCATATATACCTATATATCCTAAGGCAGGGGGTCTTAGTAAGCAGATTGGGTGGTTGGTACTTCAGAGAGAGAGAGAGAGAGAGACAGGGGGTATGGATTGGCGAAGGAATTACACGAGAAAGTTGTCTTGAACACGACTGCCAAGCCCGGATTAAGATAGTTTTGAGCCCGGGGCCAAACAATTTTAGGGGTCCATAGGCCATAACCATAATCAAAATTTTGGTGACCCATAAATAAAAATAATTAAGACAAAAAAAACTATATTTATTAATTTTTTAAATTTTTTTTAAATACCTACAAAAATAAAAAAAATTATGAGTATAAATAAGTTTTTATTGATTTTTGGGCAGCAAACTTTTTAATTATATCATCGGTATTAAATACCTCCAAAACATCACTCTCTGAACACAAAACCATAAAACTATTTAAAGTATCTTGAGAAGAGCTTGTTCTATATTTGTTTTTTATTCAAGCTAATTTAGAGAATGCTCTTTCAGACGAACAATCTGCAATAGGTATGCTTAGATATATTTTAATTGCAGTATATAAATTAGGAAAAGAGAGTAATAGATTTTTTTCATTGAAATGCTTCCAAATATCTAGCAGATAATCTTGTGTGTCATCATATGAAGGTTTACTGATAGACCAATATTTTTTGAATTGTATAATTTAATTTTGTATAGTATTGTCAATATCTTTTTTATACAATAAAATAAAATTTTCAAGACTCTTATTAACTTCTTTTTCTTCATCGTCAGTATCYTGTGGTAAAACAACTTGTAATTTTCTGATGAACAAAAAATTGTTTTTTAGAAAATTATAACTTATAAGCTTCAATTCGCTTCCCTAATTGTGAACAAAAACTATTTATAATAACATTATAAGTCTCTATTCTAAACTTGTCATAAACATTTAAAGATACGTTAATAATAATGATATAAGTTTATATTATCATTGAAAATCTTTGTATTTTATCTTGTATAATATTATATATATATATATTACAGTACATGTTTCTTTTGATTTACAAAATATACTGTTATAACTAAATCCAAATATTTCTGATTTAATAAAAAAAAGTACTGTTCGCCAGGGGCCCACTATTATTTAATATCCGTTATGGGCCCAGGGCCATGACCCTCCCCCCCTTAATCCGGGCTTGACGACTGCACCACAGTTTTACATGAGGTACGGAAAATAGGAGGAAGGATGAAAAAAGGGTCCATTGCATGATGAGGAAATACGAACGTGACACTGCAGATTCTACGGGGATTCCATTGACCGCCCGCCAGAAAGTGTAATTAATATATCAGAATTGCACTTCCACCCACTTTCACTCCCTCAAACAGGTATTTACGCGTGTGCGTAAGTCTGCCGGTCGTCTCTTAAGGTGCGTTTACAATGTTTACATTATAGTCTAAACGCGAACGAACACGAGCGAATCATATACCGAATTCAGTAGTGAAAACGGTTTGCCGAACGCTAGCGAATTGGCGCCGAACGATTCGTTCGCGTTCGGTGACGCTCGCTCGGGTGGCGGAAAACGCTCGTTCAATTCGAACGATATTCGACTGTCATTTCTGATTCATTCGTGTTCGTTCGCATTCGGACTATAATGTAAACGCACCTTTACAGAAGTATTACTCAATGGCTAAAAATAAAACTGTCTGATATAAATACAGCCATACAGGGTGTTCACACCCTCAATATAACTTATTTTCAATTTAATTTATAATAGGTACCTAATTTTTGGCGTTACCTGAACTCGATATGAAAACAATTTAATCTTTTTTTTTCGTGTTTTTTAACCGTGTTTTAGATAGCCTGATTTATTGAGTTAATTTATTTAGGTATTTTAAAAGTTGAAATCACTCAGCAGTTATATTAAGTATATCATTCAAATGATTGT